CTATTTCTTACATACAAATTTTTATTCACCTTTCTCATATACTATTTATTAAATACATTATAAACATTTTATAAGTAAAAAATACACATAATTAATGAAACATAAAAGAAAGCTATCATTACAAAAAATGTAAATTTTGTAATTAATCTTTAATATTCTTTTCTATTGGATTATATTTGAAATCAAACTTATTTCAATTGCAGAATTATTGAGTTCTTCTGTTTTTCTTACGAATAAAATATTTTACCTAGTCCAATGTATTTGATTATTAATTGATGAAAATAAAAATAAAGTTCAAATTTTTAAACTTTAAAATGAATAAAAAAATATTTGTTCTAGAATTATACGACGTCATCTATGGCGAAACTCTCAACTACTAAGTTATCCAAATAATACAAATCTTGATAATAGATAATCTTGCTGTCACTTTAAATAGGTTAAGTAAGTTTCATCAAATTAGGTTAGGTATATTCAACCTAATTTTTTTAGTATCATTTAAATGCAGCTTAAAATAAAATATTCATTATATTACATTTCAAAAATAAATATATTTTATGCTATTTTGCAAAGGTATTTTATTTGTCTTTACATTTCTAAATTGTAAATTTAAATTATAATAACAAACGTCTTCATTTCATGTGTTCTATGAAAGACTGAATTTTATTAATCAATAATAGTACATGTTAACATTTTTAACACTGTGCTTATTTCAGTTCAAAGAACATCACTTTTATTGTTGTGAAAGCAATAATAAAATGTAAATGGAATTGATATATATATTATACATTTGATTTGTCTAAATAGATAATTTTATATTCAATTCATGGTTGCACACCATGAGATTCAATGAAAATAATAGCTTACCTTTTATTTAAAAATATACAGTAAAAGACGAATATTAAATAAATTTTATAACAAGTGAGATAACATTGTATATTTTTGGTGTTATGCTATTAATAGTGATTACTGCAATATATTAGATTATAATATATCATTTTACAGCGTACTTCCTACATAGATAATAAAATACTTTTATTGCGTATTAATATTTTATATGCACCATTCTCTTCAGCATTCATGTTTTTGAAATCTATGCTACTCTTTTTCTTCTCTGTATTCAACTGTGGGATAATATATATAATTCTTAATAACATTGTAATAATTTATAACTGGATAACTCACGCATTTTACATTGCTTCTTTATTATAATAATAAGTAATATGCAGCCTTTGCCTTTTTTTCTTTTCTAACTTATGCATCTAATTTGTTTATTATGTGATAAAGTTACTTCAATAAATTTCATCTATGAAAGTTTCAATAGTTACAGACATTAATATTTATATATAAACATTAATAGTTAAAGACACAAAACGTATCATTCCACTTGGTCCAGCAATAACTGCACATTGACAAGTTTTTTTTAATGATTATAGCAGTTGCTGTTACACACTGTCATCTGTTTAAAACACAAAAGAAAATGCTACATAATTCTCCTTTTTTAATGTAAATGTATTAAAATATTTAAGAGTTCTATATGGTATATCTTATGAAAGGAATGTATGGAAAAGGTATCTCTATTGAGTTGTAAAAATTATACATATAATTTCACACTTACCATGATACCACCATTTTGTTTTCTTTGGATTTTTACTACACGTTGACACGTAAAATGAATTATCAGGTGGCCTCTTCTATAGCAGAATAATTTTTATTAATACTTTACTGGTAAATGAATAAAGCAGTTTCTTACCTTTTCCTTACAACTGCTTAGCATTGACACAATACTTAAACAGACACTTTGCACACTTAGTGCAGGAGACCAATCATCAGTCAATATTGATAGGCAGATATGACCATTACTATAAATATGTGGATGAACTGGTATGTTACCACCTATGAAAGTTACCTCTGGTGAATCAAATGGGTATTTAGAGCTAAATTTAAATTGTAGCTGAAATCGTTCGCCTTCGTATAATGTGCCCTTTGCACCATCCATGTGAATAATCCATTGCGTTAAATTCTGACCAGCAAGATCACCATCTACATGTACACCTGGTGGAGGTTCACGTATTAAGGACATCAGCTCTTTTTGGAGCCTCCGCTGAAATAATATATACAGAATATGTTATTGAACATTACATAAAATATATTTTTCATATTGAAGTATTAACCCTTTGCACTCCAAAAGTTTTTTATTGAAAATACGCAATATCATTTGACGAGATATAGACAACATTCTTTGAAATTGACTTAAGAAGAAATCATATATAAATTCAGGAACAAAAGTATTTGATTTCAATATTTCACATACTAATACATTATGCAAAGTTTAATATTAAATATTAAATTTGATAATTTTGATTTATAAAATCGTATGGTGATTGAGAGGCGCCACTAGAGTGCAAAGAGTTAACATGTATACATAAAAATCAAAAGCTCATATAAACTTATTATTTTCTTTATTTAACTGACATTAACTTAATTTGAACATTCTTAAGTAAAAAATAAAAGTAACTTTTACATACAAAATGATAAAATAAAATGGCTTAAGACTTTACAAATAAAAGTACTCGCCAAACAGGGGAAAAAGATCCTAATCGACATGCATAGAAAAGTTAATATTCTTAAAATTATAAACAACTCTTCATTTCAATAAAGTAATATTAATATTTATACAGACACATATATAGTCGCAGAAAAAGTTCCTGAACTATATGGGTTTTTATACTTTAAAAAAATTAATATATTTCATTTGGAGTTACAATAAAATTAACATATTTTTCTATAAACATATCTTAGATCATTAAATATTAAATATCTATGCATATAATTGCTGTTTTTTACAATTATTTATAATATACATTAAATTCCATACAATGCGAAAAACAATATCATTCGGAAAGATTTATCTGCAACTGCATACCATAATGCAGAATTATCTTAATAATAAGTTTTATTAGAAAAGCAAAGTTATACACTCTCATAATAGATAATTAATAACAATTCAATTATATCAAAAAATATAATTTTTTATCCCTATATTATTTGAAAATCTGTCCTAATCATTTAAAGAAAAAATGATAAACAATTAATTTTATAAAGCATAATAGCGTCTATGCAAGTAAAACATAAGTTTTAACCAAAACAAACAATTCTTTATAACTTTGTTTATATTTTTCTATCCACATTTATTAGAACCTTTTTTTCTATTCGACAAGTACTCCCTCCAAGTTTTGAACCATTTTGTTTTATAACCCTATACAACGAGAATTATTTTGAAGTAAAGCCAAAATAATACAAACAAATTTAATTACTCACTGATTCCAATATATATTAATATACTTACAGAAATAGTTTATTACGATTGTAACATCGTAAATCGATAGCAGAAACAAAGGTATTTGCGAACATACATTATATATTTATAACGAAGTATTACATCAATTTTAAGAAAAGGACATAATCAATAAAATTCATTAAATAAAACAACATAACAATATCAAACTTTATACAAAAGGGTAGCGCGTCTTATTTGACGTAAGACGTTATCCAAATTTTGGCGAGTAACAACGAGATGAGATATTTTCGTTTCGTTAATACAAAATGCAATATTTTTCACCATTTTGTACCGTAATAAACGTTCAATTTCTTTATTCGATACTATATCACATGGTGAATCAAAGACAACAGAAAGTATACAAAAGTTAAAGAAATTTTGATATTAACTTACCTTCGACGGGGACATTGCCGCCATTGTCGTTATGTTGTCCTCCACTGAAAAATATAACCGCTGTCCATTGCAATTTACATGGGTCGCTTGTTTTGTTTGTTTCCAACTGAAGAGTGTATGCTATTGCAACGACGGCGCTTTGTGTTTTTATCCCTTAAATTTCATACCGTGTCATATTGTCAAAAATGAGCGATCGGACAACAGTCGTGAGGCGTCATAACAGGGATTTCGTATCAATCAGTCGAACTTGAGAGTCGTACTTGTTATATGCTAAAGCCTGAGGCGCGTATGCAACATACATTTTTTATCTCTTTACGATCGGCATCAGGGGTGTTCGGTAATAATACTTTGCTCAAAAACGGATTACAAGTCTTAAGGATTTCTAATAGATTCGAAGATACAATGTGGAATCAAAAAAGATTTCACGAAATGCCTATTTTAGTTTTAACTAGATAAAATCTAGGACAAAGTAAATTAATATGCGTACAATCACTATATTTTAAAATAAGTATATAAATTTACTTAAACGTTGGCTACTGGAACATAAAACACTTCAGATTTTCTGTTTTATAAAATCTGTTATGATTCATAATACTATGCATTTAATGTTAAGTATTATTTATATGCATCGTCATTACAAAATTGTATTATTAAATTTCATGTATTCTTATTGTTACATATATTGTTAGTTATTCTTTTGTAATCGAGATAGTGCTGTGCACATATCGTATACATCAAATAATTTAAACTTACAGTAATATAAAATAACTAGATTATCACATAAGTGTTTTATATTTTTAACATATTCTTATCAGAGCTTTGAGGACGATAATTTTAAATTAACCAATTGAAAAATCAATCGTGTTGAAGATTTTACGCCTGTGTTGCGTATGTAACGTGTCATGAATGTAACCGGGAATGTTGGAACTATAAATTGTGGTTTGCGTTATTTTATATAAAAAAAATTGCAGTAATTTATTTCTAATAAGTTTTGAAATTGGTAATGTTTAAATTTATAATTTAATAGTAAAATTAAGGTATTATATTTTTATTCATAATGTAATATTACTTGTCAAAAGGCAGTTTAAAAATGTAAAAGCACATTAATTAATTATGTTTATGTAAGAAAGTGAACAGAGTTAATATAAATTTAAACAATGGCACAGAACTGTAAATCTATGTAGCAACTGCTGTTAATTCTTATTTGTTTAATTTAGTTTTCATATTACCTGTTTAATGATTGGGTGTTATTACAAAAGAAACTTGTTTCGATGACTTCAGCAGAACATTTTATCAGTTTAATTACAGTAGCAAGTGCTAAGAAGTTGGCTACTGCACTTGTTGTATGTTTTATATTGTATCATGGATTAATGCACCTTATTTATGGTAAAATATCCATTTAACTTTTCTTTCTTTTGATTCACATTATGTTTTGCTGTTGGAATTATATGTTTTAGATTTAATACTTAAATATTTTATATTAATTGTTATAGGTAGTGATTCATGTAAGTGGTTATTAACAGAAGGAAGATATAAAGGAGATAAAGAATGGCAACCTTATGGTTGTATGATGCACAATTACACACAAACGCAAGTCCTCAACTTCTATAATACATGTAGCAATCATATAAAAAATAATAAGTGTTTCTAAATAAAATTTTTTAAAATAGGGACAGTCGAAGATGTATGAGATATCTAGCTTTCATGGGCCACCATAACCATTTTGTATTTATTGGAGACGCTAGAATCAGACAGTTGTATAAGTCTTTTATATTACAATTTATAGTAGATGTAAAAGCATCAGATTTAACAGACTTACCACAAAATTCTGATTTAAATTTTAATGATGCTCAGCTTAGACTTAATGTACAATTCTTATGGAGACCTCGATTAGATAATTCTATTATAGAGGATCTCAGAAGCTGGATGGTAATTCATTCATTATTTAAGTGGTTGTTTATTGTTTCAATTTGCATATCAATAACTGTATCATTCTTTTCTTTTTTAGAAAGCACCTAGTCTGATTATTGCAGGCAATGCTGCAATGACAATTCTTGCAAATAATAATAGCGATACTCGACTATATTCTGAATATAGCATTGGATTAGTAAGACTTGTGCAACCTGTAGATTTTTTAACTAAAAAGAACACACGATTTTTATGGGTGCTACAAGATCCTGTGTTAAAAGAACGATTACCAGCCCAATTAGCTGGTATAGATAATAGACAAATTAATTTGTGTAATAAAGCAGCACTAAAGGTAATAATCATCAGATGTACATTCCGACGATTGTTTTAGAAAGAAACGAATTATTTATACATTAACTATATGCAGATACTATCTGACAGTGATGCACATTTATGGGAAAGTAGTAAACTTGTTGGTACAGGAGTATTGGAACAAAGCCCAGATGGATATTTGGCTAGTCCTTTGTCTTTAAGACATAAAGTTCAAATACTATTAAATATTTACTGCAACGATCATATGAACTTTGACGATGGTAGTTGTTGCAGTTACGCAGAACCAACAACAACATTACAATTACTAACTTTATCCGGTCTGGCTCTATGGTAATACTTTGAATGTTAATACACCTGACCCTCAATTTACACGAACTTTTTTTACGCGAGTCTTTTTTTTAAATGGGAAATTACAACATTACGCGATAGTTTTTATGCTCGATCTGAATTTACTAACACCAAATAAAAGGTACTTTTGTTTTCTGAAATGTCATTATTATTATTTCTTTTGTTTGACTATGTAAAATAAATATGTATTCCTAAAGCTTATACCAGCATATCTATCCAATATTTTGTTTTCTCTGGTATTGGCAGATTCTATTTACACGATTTTCATTCGCTTAAAATGAATCCATGTGGGACGGATTTTCGCGTAAATCAAAAGTCAGGTGTAAGTCATTTATTAAAGAAGAAGTAATTAGTAACTTGTTACAGTATAATAATTGGTGGTGGAATGTGGTTATACAGAAAGTTTTGTCTGTACCGACCTGAGGTATCTTATGTACGTGTTGCTACCACTGAAGTAGAAAATAATGAAGAAACAAATACTTCTGCGGTTGTGCAGATTGAACAACCTGAAGTACAAGATTTCTACACTCTGATGACAACATTAGCTCTTTTATCTATTATTTTAGCTTACTTTTATTTATGTGACAGGTACATTCAAATTACTTTTTTAAAATTAATACTACTCTTATTTAATAATATCATGTTTTCTTATTGCATTCAGAACCAATTTTTTCATGAAAGAAAATAAATACTATAGTGAGTTCAGTTTTTGGTTACCACTTGGATATATACTAGCTCTTGGATTATTTTTTACTGAAGATAGAGAACGAGGACCAAGAACTTTAAACCGAGAACAAACAGATGAATGGAGAGGATTAATGCAAGCTGTGGTGTTAATATATCATGTTACTGGAGCTAAAAATGTTTTACCCATTTATATGTACTTACGATTAATCAACTCTGCATATTTATTTCTTTCTGGATATGGACATTTTTGCTACTTCTGGCAAACCGGTGATGTCTCTCTTGTGAGATTTGCTAGGGTAAGTGAAAGGAAATGATTAAAACTTTAAAAGTCAGTGATACATGTATCTGTTATCTTTCAGGTAATGTTTAGATTGAATTTCCTAACAGTCTCTTTATGCCTCTGTATGAACAGACCATATCAATTTTACCACTTTGTTCCATTAGTTTCATTCTGGTTTTTAGTCATTTATTTCTTGGCATGGTTACCACCAAGAATATATTCTGGTAGCCTGACCGAATATGGCCCAAGAGCATTACTTTATCTTGCTTTGAAACTTTTAGGTCTTGTATCAATGATTACCATATTATACGTCTCAGAGGTATTAAATTATAAGTTACGTGGTATATACAATTTATATCATAACAGAAAATGAAATTAATGATGAATGTAATAGGTATTTTTTGAAAAAGTTTTTGTAACAAGACCTTGGAAAGCATTATTCGTAACAACTGATGACGATATACGTGAATGGTGGTCACGTTGGAGAGTGGATAGGTACAGTGTGGCATGGGGTGTAACTTTTGGAGCAGGGCTTGTTGTTTTGCAAAGGATAGATCACATTCCAGGAACTGCATTATCTTCTGCACTGGCATTAATTTCTCTGACAGCTTATACTACCTTTACAATACTGTGTCATTCGGTATCAGAATGTGAAGAAATTCATTCATACGTAGGCTTTATACCGGTACCGTTTAAACGTAGTAATCTACAAATGTGAAATTTGTTTTCGAAATTTAGAATTAATCGATGTCTTATTACAGATTATAGGATACATAGCACTTAGAAATGCATCATTAGCATTGCGTGGTAAACATTCTGCTCTCTTAGCTGGTTTAGGACGAATCAGTTTAGAAACTCTAGTCGCACAAGGCCATATTTGGCTAGCAGCAGATTCGCATGGTGTGTTAGTGTTATTGCCAAGATTTCCAGTATTAAATTTATTGGTTACATCATTCATCTTTATATGTGCAAGTCATGAAGTAAGTATTTTCTTTTTGTGTATATACTGTAATTATAATAATGTAAGAATATTTTATTCTCTTCATCAGATACATCGATTAACCCAAATTTTGGCACCATACGCAGTTCCAAATGATTGGAAATTAGTCGCACGTAATTTGTTATTATTTATTGCTGTCCTGGTACCGATAGGTATTCATGATGGAATGTTTTAAATGTAACATTTTTATAACAACTTTTCGCATAATATATGTAAATATTATGTACAATAAGCATATAATTTTGTAATATTCTTTCAAAAACGTCTCAAAACAGAAGTATAACAAAAAGCCCCTCCATTAAATTTGGTTTTCCATTATAAACTTTTACAATTTAATTAAAATATCCTTTATTTATAAATTACAACTGTTAAATGAATTACTTATCTAAAATTTGAAATACTAATTTATTAACTATTTTTTAAATTGGAATTTGAACAACCATGTTTCACTTGACTGGTATAAACATCATATCCAAGAGATATAGTATTATCATAAAGAACTCTATATTTTGTTGGTAGGAAATAGAAATTAAAAATTTGTGCTGGGGGCCAAATAATCCATTCAGCTATATACAATTTATAAGCTTTGCTGATAATCTCATTTTTTAATTCAGACCAACTATTTTTTTCTAAAATGGCTAGTGTTAAGAAAAACATTGTTATATAAAGTGGAGAACAAATTAATTGGTCAATAACAACTTTTTTCAAAACAATGTCAATTGTACGCCCTGGTAATTTGACATCTAAATATTTGTACCAATAATGACATATTATACCAACCGACATACCAGATATAGCCATGTTTTTAGTTCTCTTTGTACTAAATTTATCCCACTCACCCTGTAATAAAAATAGAGAAAGGCAATAAAACTTTTTCATACCTATGTATGCAACTACTACAACTGTATTATTTTCATACCTTTAATATTTCATAATGTTGTTCCAATACATCTCCCGTAGCAGAAAGAGAAATAGATATAGCTACATTTGTATAAAGTAAATATTTTGGTGAAAATAATTGAGTTTTGATATCATTTATCTTTTTAAAAATAATATTTATAGTCCTATGCCCACTCATAACCTAAACAGAGTAAAAATTTATAACCTACAAAATTTTAATATGAAAAACTTAACATACACCATCATAGCATGTAAACTTAAAAACTTATACGTAGATATAAAAGTAAAACTTAATATTAAATATCGACAATTGGTACTCAATATTTATTACGCCATAAAATATCAGGGCATGTATATAATTTAAGATAAAACCATTACCATTTTTAAAGAAACAACTTTAATATCGAAATATCTTTTATGCTAGAGTTTTAACTATTTTAAAATATGAATAACTACGCCAATTTATTCGTGATTCTATATAGTTGAACATTTTAAGGCTTGAAATACTGTCACGTGCATGATTATACTTATCAGATTTATAATAATCATATAACATAACTATGTTATGTACTGAATATATGGTATGAACAATATTAAATTATTATACACATTTTCATGTCACATATGATGGACATTTTCATTTATAAAAAGCAATTTTTTTATAACTCTATTTACAAATGTAATCGTAAAATATTAGATTAACGCGCAAGAAATTTGAAGGTTGATGAATGCTGTCGATGTGTATGTTTCAGTCCTGTTTACAAGTTCTAACAAATTAATTTTTTTCATTAAAATATTTTTCTGAAATCTTTCTTTTCAATAGATCTCTTATAATATTCTTTTTGTAGAATGTTTTACGTAAAAATTTCATTATATTCTCAATTTATTATAATGTATTATAGGGCTGTTGACTAGGAATTCGCGAACACCATAGTGACTTTCCCCTCATGGAGAGTTACCCCTCCATACCTGCTTTTACCTGTATTTGACACATATAAGTAGAATTGCTCATGACTTCTCAGCCTAAGGCAGCTCCTACATAGAGATAATGGGGAAACACTGTTCAGAGTCACTAGCATAAGGGGAGGTTGTTCACACCTTTGTGTTAAAGAATTTGTACACATGACCTGGCGAGTACAAATTATTGACCTCAAAGTATTACGATGTAACATATTATTTAAAGGAATAAATTATAATAAAAATAATTATAATTTTGACTACTAATAATAAAATTGGTTCTCATTAAAATTCTTATTATGCATAATAATTTTAAGTACATATGACGTCATCGATTTGTATGTACCAATTGTATTTTTTTTAGGAATTTCAAACAAATTTATGACTAGTTAATCATTGTTATTGCTTCTTTCCATAATTAAATTTGTTATAGTGAAGTTTAGTTCAAACAAAGAGTAATTACTAAAGAAATCATATCTGAGTGCATGGACGGGGTAATAAATTTAAATTACGCGCGCTTTTCAGTGTGACGCACAGTTTTTCGTTTGGCGCCTAAACTAACAAAAAAGGCGGGTGTTGGGTACGCGTTATCAGCGATAGGATTCACTGGACATCAATGCGATAGACAGAAGTACGTAAACAAGGTATTGAAAATTTTTAAAATTTCAACGGACTTCTGTTGCACATATATATCCGTATATAAAAACATGTCTCAGCCGTCAGTAACAGCGTACTTTAATACGCGCAAACGACAAGCAACTGACGATTTGCGAAGCAAGGCAAAAGTGTTGCTTCTTGAACGGGATCAATCAAAATTAGCGAATAGCCAGAATCGGAATTCACTGAATAAAGATATTTCCGAATCATCCGAATCACTAACTTCAATAAAAGAGGAAAACACAATGGTTACGAGTCCGAAAATGATTCTCGTCTCAGGAAAAGAGGTAACGAATACTCGTATTGTGAAATCTAATTCTGCCGTTCGTAATATACAATTCGATTCCTCTAAACCAAATACTCAAAAAACATCTAAAAGCAATCCTCGAGTCCGAGCTGTACGCTCTAGGAAATTATCTGGGCAAGAGGGTCAGATAGACATTCGAGAAAGCTTCCAAAAGATCACAGAAGATTTAGATACAAACAGAGTGTTATTTGAGAAAAAAGGAGCATTAAGCCCAAAGAAAAAAGCTTCAGGAACGCCAAAAAAGAACAATGCTGCTGTTGAAAGTCTGTGTATGAACATCTCAAACGATCAATCTGTGGTTACTTGTGTTACACCAAAAAAAGCATCGACCATGGATAAATTGGCAAAACCCGAATTGTCTATAACTGATATAAAGAACAGAATTAATAAATCAAGCAGACTCATGGAATTGAAAGCGTCTATTGCAAGGTTCAAAAACTGTGAACAAAAATTAGAGAAATTACAAAAACAAAATGAATCTAAAAAACCACAGATACAGAAATTTGAGAAGATTCAACTTGAAATACCAGTTAGGTAATATATTTAGGATAATAAAAAAATTTGTGTAATATTTGCTTATGTTATTTACATTATTTTTTTGCCATATTTGTTTCAGTCCACAGAAAACATACAAATCACCAAGTAAAATAGTATTAAGTCCTATGAAGAGTAAGGAATTATTTGCAGCCAGTCCTCAAAAACGAATTTTATTTGAACCTAAGGAATCAACACCCAGTCCAGTGAAGGGTAGTCCAACAAAAACACCAGCTTATCAGCAGTATCTATCATTAGCTGAAAGTGGAACTCCTGCTTTGCCATTACCTTACCATTATAGATTTTTAGCAGAAGCATTTAGATGTGTAGACACGGTATATATTTACATAAAGGAAATTCACATGCAATTAGTGCTTTTATTTTATGTGTATAATGTATTTGGTTCTTTAGGTTTCAGCAATGCTTTTTAATCGCAAAGAAACAATAACATTTAAAAAGTTGAAGCCTGCAGTTCAAGAATTATTGCGTAAAAACTTTACATTGGAACACGTAGCACAAATTAAAACTATTTACCCAGATGCGTACATTTATCAGCAGGAGAAGTATCGCACATTTGGTTCTACATCCAAGCAAGATAAATATGAGCTAATTTTTACACCTATTGTTGAAGAGAAGACTGGAAGAAATACACCTGATGCAGATGATGTGTTGAAAACAGCTTCCGAAGTTAGTATGGGACCGAAAGTATTGTTGGATAGACGAAGAAAGTTCTATAACATTTTGCTGGGTAATAACAAATCAAATTAAACGTGAAATTTCATTTTAGTTATAATTTAAAATCAATTGTTTGCGTTTTAATTACAGATAAAGTGAAGGATGAGCATGAGAAATTCTTACTTAGTTTAGAGACTCCAATGCGTGTACCAAAGGAAAAGATTTTACGTTGGCATCCAGAGTTTAATGTTGAAAGTTGCAAATCGATTGAACAATCTGAATTGCCGCAGCCACCAAATATAGAAAAAATATTGACTGCGAAGGATGTTCTTGGTAAGATTACTGTCACAACTTACCATCTAATATTTATTAATTTTTTGTTACTAACTTATTTGTTGTTAATCTCTTATATTTTTAGACAAAGCAAAGTCATTATTCAATTGTGGTACACGCATGGAAAAAGCATTGCAACGACTAGCTGAAGCAAAAATGACTTCAAAGTCATCTCCAGAGAGAGACGAGAACAGTGCAGTACAAACTGAAGATGGTATCCGGAAAGTTAATATTACCGTTGTGGATACACCACCCGCTACACCTACCACACAAAAGAATTTCGTTAGTATGTCATTTAAAGGCATACCAAAGGCCCTTTTAGAAAAGGTAAAAGTTTTATATTAAAAATATGAGGATTAAAATTAAAACAATACAATTTACATAAAAGTGATAACTAGTATTTTTTGTTACCTTTTCTTAACAATATGTTTCTTATGTTAGGTTCGAGCAAAACAAGCAGCTAAAGCATTGGAAGCTATGACACGTACACCGGATGCTAATAAAGAAGCTGCCATGTATTCAAGGCTTCCAGAATTGAGCAAAATCCTGCGTAACATTTTTGTTGCCGAGAAGAAAAGTGTGTTGACTCTTGAATTCGTGATTGGAAAACTAGAGAATTCTTATAAATCAAAATTGAACCCCAACGAATTAGAAGAGCATATACGTTTGTTATGTAAACTACTACCCGTATGGACCAGTATACACAATGTTAGAAAAGTAGACTACTTGAAATTGCAAAAAGAAGTTGATCTAGGAAAGGTCGTTAAAAGATTAGAAATCATAGCTAATGATAAAGTAACATCTAAATGACATTAATTGACAATATAAAATAATTTTTCCCCTTGTTTCGAATTTATGATTTATACATGAATCATTATTAATATTGATGATAATTATTTCCTTGTATTTCACTGTGTTTGTTACAATCTATTATATTATCTCATCACATTTGCAATGAATGTTATTTAATGTAATTCAATTCTGGTTCAAGGTGGTAAATGTAAGATTAGTTTCTCTAATGTGCACAAAATAAAACATACTCTTTCTTGTGCTCCTTATAATTTTAAGTAAAATTATCATATTAAGCAATATTTCAATTTTTGGTTCAGTTCATGCTATTCTTTACAAAATAATATTGTAACATTTACAGAGATAGAAATTAGCATCTAATTTGTGATTAAAACACTACTTTACAAAATATTATAACATATATGCACTTATTTTACCGTATTATGTTTATTCTAATGAAATATTCATATTTTGTTACAAAATCATTTTTCTTTCGTAAACTATGTATTATAATTAATCAATTTAATAAAAACAATGTAACAAATAGTAAAATTAACGAGAAAGTATAAAAATACTTATCAGCCGAATAATAATTATTAGTATGAATTTATCATTAAAAATAATGATCGTTTAAAGAACATTTCTTATTTGTAGGAAATAATTTTTCCCTCCATTCAATTTATGGTAAAACAGATTGCTGCCTTATCATTGGTTATCCCAAATTTTCTAACCTCTACTACAAAATTGTTTGCTGTGTACGGTCCAAAAATAGATCAATTATAAATATTGAATTTTATGTAAATAAACTTGTAAATCATGTTTATAACGAATATATTATTTAAGAAACCTAAGAGCAAGTAAGTGTATGTCAATTTTTTAATAATATAATTGTTAATATACATGTTAGGTTAATTTATATCTAGTCAAAATGTTTCAATTTATCATTTATTTACAGACTTGTTCAAAATATTAATCTGATAATTCAGACTTGTAAACAAAATTCTTTTCTTGATTATTTTTACGTACATGTTTGCTTTTCAGTATCTGATATAAATATACAATAGGTGAATATGTATTTCTGATTTGCAGATTTATTTTAGTGTTGTTAGAAAGTGTAGCAAGTGGACATAAGTACGTGGTAAAAAGAGAAAGGTTAGCTGACAAGTTGGAAGTAGTACGTTTTGATCCCTATGGTACGTTGTTAACATTTTTAACATTTTATTTATTAAATGCACTTAGAAAAAGAAAATAACTTGGGGTTAGATTTTAAGAGTTGTTTAACTGTTTATATGAACATAATAATAATACATTATAAAACTAGCAGAAACATTCTAAGGACAAAAAATTTCAAGACTTTTGTGTTACATCACATTAGATTGCATGGAAATTTGATTAAAAGATTTGTTATGCCATGTATAACCATAAACATGTAGAAACTAAATGTTGTTAACACATACAAAAAGATAATAGTACCTACTTCACAGATGATCATTTCTTTTCAGTGAATACTGCAGTGTTATACAGGGAACTGAAGAAAATTAGAAGTATATAAACTATAATTCATTGCATATATAGCCTATCTTTATAAGGTATTAGATAATTATTTGTAATAAAAATATGTGATAAGAAGTAAAATGCTAATGATATTTAAAATTCTGATCCTTGCAAATATTTTCATTACTAACATCATTTTCATTGTCATGTTGTGCCATATCTTGCGAAACTTTCTAATACATATAAATTTTATTCCTTCATTTTATGAGTATATTTAAAATGTTATGTATCATGTTGTAGGTTATAATTTTCATTCATACGTTTTTTTATTGATCGAAAGAAAATGTATATTAATATGACTTCAGCAGCATATAATGTTACCAGTCAGTCACCCATTAAAATATTAAACAAGTTTGATACATGTGTTTTCATAAAATACACAATAAAGTGAATTAGTAAAAAATTGAAAATAATATGTTTCCATTTTTTTCTCTAAAAACAGCAAAATGAAAAAATTTATATCATAAAAATTTTCATAATTTCTGCACATATTGTAATAAAATCCTGTGTAATCGTTAACTGCTGCAAATGGACTGTTAGACTGTTTAATGTTTTTATTTATTTATATTTTTTTCACGCATGTCTTACAATGTTGAAACTGTATGTATCTTTTAATTACACTATAATGTTCAATCACTGAAATTATGGATAATTTATTTTATGGGTTATGGGATATGGGTTAAATTATTTTAGATGATAAAATAGATGTACGTACCTACCGACCGATCTTTCTCAGTTTTGTCAATTATAAATTGCGATCTTAATTTTTCAACAAAGTGTATGCATGATTCTGTACTTAAAAAAAGGCATAGTAGAACTGCGTATCCACGTTGTCAAAACAAAAGATATAATTTTACCGAGAAAAACAATGCGATGTCGTTCGTAAATGGTTTTGAATAGAGTCCACGGATATCAAACGTCTTGCACACAGTTGTATGTATCGAAAGGAACAAGAGGAACAGGAGGAATGGAGGAAGGGAAATGGAGAACCGTCGAAATCGAGATTGGGGTAAGTTCCCTTTGATCTTTAACAAGGAACGCAAAGTTGTATTATTTCCACCTGGATTTCAAACGGTTTGAAATTCACGAGGCGTGAAACGCGTCTCTGTTCCTGCGTCTTTATCCTTCTAGCTGCCAACCCCTTCCACGCGTTCACTTTCGTCCCGCTCCACCGTGTTCCTCTCTTCTTTTTGGCGGTGCGTCGGGAACTACAGGCGTCGTTTACTGATGTTGCCAATTCAATTTCTCCTGGTGGACTATTGTCGTCGGTAGTAAGGGGGATCGCAGTTATAGAAGGGATTCCCCTGTCCGCCCCAAGTGCGAATCGTTTCTATCTCTCGCGATTGTGCGTGTGACAGTTTCTGACATTTACGTTTCTCGCGGTTCTTTTTCCTAAGGAAAACTTCTTCCATATCTTTGTTGAGGTCTTTAAGTACATATTGCAAACGCTCCAATGTTTTTCGTTCTTCAAGTCCAGTACTCTCGGGTGCAATTGCTATTATTCCATTTAACAGGAATTGGAAAATTTGGAGGTACACATAACCTACAAAAATGTAAAAAGCTATATCCTTATTAAATGTCATTAAAGTAGTAAACTTTATTGGATCCGCAACTATAATACGTATATATATAAACCAACAATGCAATTTCATTAAACAAAAAATAAACTTCAAGCATTTAAATTTAAGGCGGCTGATTAAATAGATGATTGGAGTCACTACTATTCTACCATATTAACATTATCGTAAGGTATTCCGAATTCCACCTAAACGGTCAGCAGGCAATTAAAGTGCCCCACATCAACCATCTCTGAGGGGTAAAAGGCATCAGAGCTGGCAAGAGTGGGAAGCTGAAGGGAGAGAGGAGCGAAATTAATTCTGCGAGGGCTGAGACGGTAAATCGCGAAACAAACGGGCCTTCGAGCGGAGCAGGGTTTTTTTTCGCGGCACAATGAGTTTCGAAGCGGCGTGCAACAGCGAAATTGTTAAAACGTCCGTTGTTTATGGTCGACTCGGTTAGAACGACCGGTAAAGGAGGAAACAGTACGCGACGAAAGAGCGAGTCGGAGTGATGGGGAGGAGCTGGGAGTTGAAAGAAGGAAGGAGGAGAAAAGCAAAACAGAAACGAAAAGGTGACGAGGGACGGAGAGAGGTGAAGGAGAAAGAGAGAGAAAGAGAAAACGGGAGACTCGTCTGGGCCTTGGCGCGTTTCAGTTGCCTCGCGTTCGAGGGCGTTTTTCGCCCGTGAGTTGTTCTTTGCTTATTACAGTGTGTGCACTGAGCTCGAGCTTGCTAAAGTGGTTTGCTGCTAATTAACTGCGTTATTTTTACAACTCTCTCGCTCTCATCTACCTCCCACGTTACCTCGCGCCTTCCCTCTCTCCGTTCCCTGACTGTTCTCTCACATTTGCAATGGGGTTCAATAATTCTGCGGCCGCAACGCCCTCTCTCGCTTTCTCGTTGGCTCTCTCCTCCTCCCCTCCGTTCTCTTACTGTGTTATATTCGCATTTTATGCGTACGAAACCACTATTTTTACCGCATGCACCTGGAAACAGGCTGTGTAGGATCAAGTTCAATGCTTGTGGATTTAAATCAATTTAATACGCATAAACCGTTTCGATGGAATCAAATAAAACCTATAAGAATCGACTAAGATTAGAATATTTTTATTGGAAGGGTATTAATTTCGATTTAAAGTGAAAAAGCGGAGGGAATAGAATAATTTATCGTTTATTATTTTA